GCGCAATACGCCACAAAACCCAAGCACAACTAAGGCGCGATAAATGACCTGCATCTCAAGAGTCATCCTGCTCATATAACACCACAAGCTACACGAGACCTCAACACATGTGCGAATAATTAAACCGTCTCAATCCGAAACAACTCCCACAGTTCACAACCAAAGGAATAGAGCGCCTTCCAGGCATGAACTCTCACATTTAACGATGGTACGATAATCTCCATGCTTGATTTCAATCTTTAACAATCAAGTGACTAACATGCCACACTTATATAGATTTCCCCATGGGATACTCTCACACGAACTTCCGTACCAGGTAGAAAAGCCTGCACCTCCATACCACCAACCGTACTAATCTGTAAAGCAATTCAATACACAAAGCCTCTTACACAAGACACCGTTCTCAGGTGACACTAAAGAAAATGCCAGCTTACTCTGAACATCTGAATTTACCCTTGCTCATCCGAACTCGTGACATTCTTGTCGACACCGAACCGCAACCTTGATCCTCAACTTTCAAATTCCCATGCTGCTCACTGCACCTATCATGCCGCTACGCGAGAATACAAGAATCCATCATAACCACTGAACTACTAGCAGAATAAACACTTCATTGGCTAGAAACCTTTCACTCCGCTCATTTCAGAAGAGCCAATGCAACACGCAACTGAATTCCCAAACCACAGAAAATACAAACCTCAAGTCATGATCTGAACCACCATGAGTCCTCCGGAGTCCATTTACACCACAAGGCCATTTGAATGAAATACCTCCCAAATCAATCAAGTTGTGGTGGTTGTCAAGCCCGCGCGTACAACCACAAACCACATTTATAACTTCACACGCTTAAGGAACTGATCTTTGCCACAATCATGCTGATTCAACCATTACTAACCGACCCAACTTCTTTCAATTTACTCTTGACCTATCTTACAAATAATAGCTCTATTTACAACATAACGAACTCAATCCGCACTCGTCCTGAGTGACCCGTGTCACGAGACCACATCGTCTCAATACTCATGAACCATCTCATACCCTCTTTATGTGCACAATAACATCTCCAACTGGTACACCCATTCTGCAAGACCATCCGCGAATCCGAAGCTATTTCTTCCTTTCCCCCAATACTGCACCGCATACCCGATGATAACATAGAATATTCCAAACCCCGCTCGTAATCCACTGTGAAAACTCGATCCTTAACCACACCACGGACCCGAAACCTTTAGGCACTGCACTTTAAATTCTTGAACCCACTAGGTCCGTTGTTGAGAGTCACCCACTCTGACTTGATTCTGAATATAACCAAGCTCTAACACTCTGTTAGCACATGAACACTCACAAAGAAGCAACCAGATGAATCACATCCGCAAGAAGTATAAACTCTGAGTCTTCCCAAAACCTGCACATGAATCGATAAGGCGAACTATAGCACATATTCATCAAGTTCTTTGCTTGAATTACCCCAGATGTTTTCTTTTTCTTAGTCATAATTGATCCATCAATGCATCGATAATCAGAAACTGCACAAGCAGACAACCACGCGATCCAATCGTAGGCGGTGGGGCTCCCCCACTTAGTTTTAAGCTACAATTACATAAACCTAGAACCCACAAAGATTTCTCCTTCTCAATTACCATGATCTTGCACCGATAACTCGCCAAATTTCTCAAAATCTCTTGTTAAACTTTTCATGAACCTTCTGAATCATTAGTCACAATCACATATTCAGCCTCTTACCGGCTAGCAAGTAGTATCTAACCTGTTCACAGGAGATAATCCACATGTGGAATTCCTTACCGACATCTTCCAACGATGCTGCACGGGGTACAACTACCACATAATCACTAAATCCTCCTGACCTCATGCTCGCCCACCAGCTGTATAAGTCTGCTCCTTCCCTATTGACATCAACTGAAAGTTAAACAATACCTTACGAAGTCAAGTCATATTGCATCTAAAACGATAATCAAATCTTCACACCCCTTTTCATTTCAAGAAAGCTCTTTTCTTCCATATTCAATCTTTCTTCGTACAATGACCACCATTCCAAATAAAATCCGTAGGCCAAATCACCTTCCATCACTATTCCCAAACCGTTCTCCACTTTCTCAAGGAACGCGACTATCCTACCACAGAATCCATATGCTAATCTGCCATTCTTACTTCGGTTAAACCATCTCCTTTAAGCAAATTCTCAATCTCTGCTTTTCATACTTGACCTGCTGGTACTTCAACTACCGCGAAGCACTTCCCGCCATGTCCTCCCTCATACTTTGCTGCCCAAATGTTGCATCAAAATCAAAATCCATCTCTGTAGCACCTGAACCAATAAATTGTTACCGACTCTAAGCCTCTTCGAAGATCATCTCTCTCGAGCCATCAACATTAGAAATACTAATTTGATTCTGAACCACTGCACACCACTATCTCTGATAACCGCCCCTCAAGCTCCATTTCGCAACACTCTGCCCCGAAGGCAAACTCAAAGGAGACCATAACACCGACGAACCATAATGCATTTAAACAAGGATGATGATACCGCATCACAATGAAAATTCCACCACGCTCGAAAATACCAAGTCTCGTTACTCCATCGACCAAAACCTGAATATCCATAGTCTGATTGCCTTTCCTTTGCTGGAATTAAATGTTGAACCTCTAAATCATGCACTGAGAAATCCTCCTTTCGAGTCATTCTCTGCCTCGACACATTACCAATTACACCAACATTATGCGATAACCACTCATAGACATCATAGTAATCCGTGCACAGTCTCGAAATCATAGAAAATACAGATACTGAGCTGGATCAAAAGAACATCCTTCTGCAAGGAGACGACAATAGCCTGCCCGAACACGCAGAGAAAAACATCATGCACCACGTCTGCAGTACCACTACAACTCCTCGATGCCCAATTCATAACAGCGCTTCGCGTCGTATAAGATTGAGTAGGAAGGAAATAAAGGCACAAGCCTCAATGAAATCAAACCGCACGATGAGGAAATCAAGAAGGGAAGTACTCCTAACAGCCCTGTAGCCTCTCGAAGATAAGTACAGACGTCTCCGTACCGATCCGCAAGACTCTGCTAGACTTGCTCATGACTCGTGAGACCTAAGTGAAACTAACGCTCTGATACCAAGCTGTCACGTACAATTTGTGTTGACTGAATCGAATTAATTGTGACTAGATTCGAGCCATTCGGAAGTTGATAAGCGCGGAATGGAATTTCTGGAGCATTGTTTAGCTTGCTCGATATTGGACTCGGCTTGTTCGAGGTAAGTAACTCTTCTAAACTTGGAGCTGAGGATATGAACCTTGATTATACGTATTATGTGAATTGTTTGGAGGTGACGCACATGCTAGATGACGGGCGTGTGGGTGTGCACCGTAGAATTGAGACTCAGTTGATTCCGTAGAGCTGTATAGTCAATTAACTTGTATTTTTTCATGTATTTTTATGTGTTAGAGAAACTGAGTTGTGACTCGTGTTAGAGATTATGCTTAGGCAAATGCTGGTATTATTGTGGACCCACTAAGGTCATTTCTCATGTCGAATTATATGTTTAAATTATAATTATATACTCAGTCATATTCATTCATTTCATATCATATCTCAGTCTCTGTTGCTATATATTAACACATCATATCATCATTGTTGGGCTAGTTTCATGGCATTGTGGGCCCGAGAGACTGGAGAGATTGATAACTGAGTGAGGCCGAGGGCCTGATTGTGAAGTTATTGACACTATGGCATGTGAGTTGTCCGTGCAGCACATGAGTTGTTCGTGCAGATCCAGATATTTATACTATGGCACGTGAGTTGTCCGTGCGGATCCAGATATTGATACTATAGCACGTGAGTTGTCCGTGTAGCACATGAGTTGTCCGTGCAGATTATAGCGCTGAGCTGAAGGAGCCCCTCCGGAGTCTGCACACACCCCCAGTGTGCGCATGTACCTATTGAGTGTGAGTGAGAGTGCCGAGTGATTGGGAGGACTAAGTGGATTAATACTTTGAGAGTATGCATATGGTTGTTCACTATGTTGTACTGCATTGACATGCACACTTGACATACAAGCATAGAGACGCATTTTTCCTCATGTTGCACGGTATCATTTCATTCATGACTTCTCATACACATTGACATGCAGGCATAGAGATATACTTTTCCTCATGCCATTTGATATTGAAACATTTACCTGTTGAAAAGTTTTGGAAGGAAAATCACAATTTTATAAACTTACTCATATTTTGGTATTTTCGGTAAAAGATTTGAGTTTTTACTGTTATACCTGAAAAACATGTCTATTTTCTGAAACTGTGAACGAGCTGAACATCTTATTTCTGAGTTATTTCCTGCACCACTTTTATTATATTGTTATGAGCCGTTGTTGGCTATCAGTGTTGGACTTTGACCTGTATTCCAGCTCGTCACTACTTTCAACCTAAAGTTAGGTTTGTTACTTATTTAGTACATGGGGTCGATTGTACTCATACTACACTTCTGCACCTTGCGTGCAAATATTAGATGTTGATGTTGCTATGATCAATTTGAAGACGTACCTGCGTTCTGTTAGTAGCTGCCTCTTGTTCATGGTAGCCTTAAATTTATAAAAATCTATTTATGTACATGTACTTATTTCATACCAGCTTTATAACTTCTAATCTTAGAAGCTCATGATTTGTACTACCAGTCCTTAAAAATTCTTGTATAAAAATAGTTTTATTATCCTTTCTTTTCTTAATAAATCTCATCTAAATTAGATAGTTGTTAATTGACTTACCCGACGGATTGAGTTAGGTGTCATCACGACTAGGTAAATTTTGGATCGTGACACCTAAGTTATCCGTTTGAAAATTCTTTCCAAAAAGATTGTTTCAGTTTAAACTCATTCAAATTCTATCAATGCTAATAACAAACGAAACTCATTTGAAAAAGGGTATGCAAAAGAAGAAACATTAGTTTCTAAACAATTAGTTTAAAAGCAGTCAGATTCCAAAAAAATGTTGACATTATTAAAGCGAGTAATCTTTTCGGTGAAAGTTACCTTTTACCTTATTAGGTTTGATCTACCTAAAGTCTTTCCTAAATAATCAAGACAAAACAAATATTCAATACCAATGTCAGTTCCACAAGGACATATACAAAGAACGGGACAATAGTAATAATAATAATTTCATATAAGGAAAAGTGGCTGGACTCTTGTGCTGGACTGACAATTAGTCAGGCCGAACTAAGCTCAAAACTGCAGCAGGCTTCAACGGATGACAAAGGAGGCAACCCAGTTCATTGAATTTGGGTATGGGTTTTCAATGAACTCAGCAGGTCCAGTATTCATGCAAAGAAAAAGAGAAAGAATCAATTAGCATTTGTGCATAGAAAAAATAAAGGCAGAATCATAAAAGAATAAAAATGAGCATAAATATGATGTAGAGTGAACAGATTATGCCAAATTTTAATTATGATAATCCCCTGAAGATTAATTAAGGCCAATGATTATGGGCTTAGAGTGAACCACACTTATAAGGATCCCCTATGGACCCAGATTTCACGAGGGTCTCTTGGACCCCGAGCAATGCTTGTGTCAGGGAGGGGTTCCTTAACAGTAAAGTCAAGCCCACACCAAACACCCTTAAGCATTGAACCTCATTCTTCTATAGAGGTTTAGGCACATAAGAAATCCTATCTTAGCATTCAACCAAACAGGTGCCCAGGCAGTCTCACGCAATCAATATGAAACAAACTAGCAGAAGCACATAAGGTTCCATATGATATCTTAATCCATCTAGGCGTGACATATTTCAAGAAAACTCAATCATATAGGGGCACCAATAATTTTAAGAACAGACAATCATTCTAGGAATTGAAGCAATCACTTGAGTATAATGCCCTAAATAGTCAAGGAGTAGCACATGCTTGAGTTTTAAACAGTGATTATTATCAGAAGTCAGAACACATGATACAAGTATAAATTACCACATTTAAGTTCTCAAAAGTTTTTAACAGTTTCAAGAGCTTAGAGGTTGATTCTGAACCATTCCATATGGCACAACATCTACAGAATATTCTTAGGTATCACTGCGGTAAACATACAGAATCAATAACGGGTTACAAAGCACAAGTGATCAACTATATGCCCCTATAGAGCAAGCTTGTTGTGCTAATAACAACTTCAACTTCATGAATGCTTCTCCAGGTGGTTTAAGGCAACAGTGAACAAAAGACAAATGCACCCACTTATTTACTGAATCTCATCAAAGGTCTAATGGTTCATAAGGATTTAATCAGACAGGGTTCCTTTGAAGCAAGTTTAGATTATCAAAGTAAGTTATTAAGGCCCAGAACATCCTTAGGACACTCCTTCAACAACAAACAAACACATAGGTGTAGATCTCACTACATGCTTAACAACCCAGGCTGATCACCTTACTCAGAATTGGGACATTAAGCATGAATAGGAGGGTCAATTATGTAGGCATGGCATCTAAACATGATAGTGCACATTGAGAATGAATAATACTTATTCAAACTACCAAGACCAATAGTGCTTAACCACATTACATAAAGATCTTATGGACAGTGTCCTCAAATATCAAATGGTCATAAGATGACAAGAATACTTGTTACAATTAAACAAGGCAAAATAGACATGGAATTGTAAATCAGCATTTTTTTGTTTATTCAAGCAAACCGGGTCACATATTAAGCTCTAAAGTATAAACATGCCAAGCTAGGTAGACAAGTTTGTCATATTCAAGTTATCATGATAAACAAACATGTCTTGTAACATAGATCATTCTGAATAGAACAATGGGGTACAATAAGCATGACTGTCAAGCTAGGTAGACATGGAATTGTAAATCAGCATTTTTTTGTTTATTCAAGCAAACCGGGTCACATATTAAGCTCTAAAGTATAAACATGCCAAGCTAGGTAGACAAGTTTGTCATATTCAAGTTATCATGATAAACAAACATGTCTTGTAACATAGATCATTCTGAATAGAACAATGGGGTACAATAAGCATGACTGTCAACTGGACCTATTTGATTAACTAAGCAGATCAACATGATAACATAGGCATGACTATCAGTGAGGGGCATTCAATTAGTTAAGCAGATTAACATGGTGATGACTGTCAACAAGGATCACTCAATTAGACAACACAACACAATAATATAAGCATGAAAATCATTCAATTAGTTAAGCAATATACCATGATAATATAGGTATGAGAAACAAAATTCAATGATCACCAGAAAATACTGATTTAAACAACATAGGGGATAAACATAACTATTAGCAGGGAGTATCAGTTGATTAAGTGAAAAATAACACAAGCAGCAGAACACAATTGAAAGTTTCATGCTTGGCTGATGAGTATCACGATGAAGCATAGGCAAGCAATTAACAAAAAACACCAGACAAACGAGACAACATGATAATATATGAAATGAATGAATAATTAAAGGGAGATCAGTGGTCCACTGACATTCTTCGAGGCAACAAACCAAGTAACCATTCTTAGCCGTTTAGGAACTAAAGTTCACAATCAATTCTCAGTAGTTGCACTCGAGCAAAAATTGAAAATAAAGAAAGGAGATTAGAGAAAGTTTTTTAAGTATTTAAGAAGAGAGCATTTACTAGGCTTCCTATGGTAGTTCGTGTGTTTGGTGAGGGCATTAAAACCCTCTATTTATAGCTACAATTGAGACTTAGGATTTCACTCAAATTTTGAAAATCTGTGAGATGATGATGAGCACTGATGACTGAGAAGTGACGAAATCAGGAAGGGAAAAGGGGTAAAGATTTTTACCTCCCTAAAACAATGAGTGAACTAGCCGTTGAAACCAATCGGACCGCCGGGCAAAGCCAATATCTAGAGGTCATTGCGTTTGACCTCTGGACCACCGACCATCATGATGCGGTCAAGATTCTAATGAATCCATGGCTGCATGTGACGATTGAACAAGCAGAGGAAGAAAATGAGATTCTTACTCTTTTACATTTTGGTGTAAGGTTTCGGGGCTTGAAATTCAAAATTGGGTGAGCGAAAAAGGAATACTCAACAGGATTTGCGGCTAACATGTGAGGGAAATGATGAGCCTTGATCATCTTCAGTGACCTTGCACTTGTGCAAGGTTTAGTAATGGCAGGGTGGGTTGAGAATGAGAGAAAAGAGATAAGAAGAGGAAATAAAGGCCGTGGATGAGACGAAATGTCTCTAGGGTTTGGGGGTGGGCTTAGTTAAAAATGGGAGATAGTATGGGAGCCGCTGGATCATTTAGATCAACGTCTCCAGATTTTTGGAGATAAAAAAGGGAAGAAAATATTTAGTGGGGATAAATCAGGGGCCCATGGATCATTTTGATCCAACGGTAGAGATAAATGCGTTGGGGGATTTAACATTAAAGAGGATTTGCAAATAATTTTGGACCGTTGATGAATTTGATCAACGGTCCAGATGGAATTTGTTTATTATGTGAGCGATTTAAGGAGGTGACGTGGCATCATATTATTGGTGGAGAATGAGTGGCGAGGATTGCCAAGTAGGACGGGTAGTGGGCTGTTGAACCAGGTCAGGGTTATTGGGTCAGTATTTGTGGGACAATTAATTGGGTATTAGGCTGGAATGGGAATCTAAATCATGGCCACTTTAATTAAATCAATCAATTGCAATTGTAGCCTATTTTAAGTTTTAACCCCCTTTTATAATTAAATTAATTAAACTAATTTAATCCCAATAACATATAATTACAAATGTATTATTAATTAATTATTGTAGGCTAGCTTTAAATTATCCTAATAATTATAATACTCGTCTATTAAATTATGAAAGTTAATTGTTTGATTAATTAAAGTTATAGAGGTACTATAACAACACATTCTCATTAGGCTCACAAATATCCCTCGAACCAATTTCGATTATTCCCAAACAGGTATATAACCTTCCAAAAGTCTATAGCAACCTATCCATAACATATGCCATCAGCAATCTAATTCTTAGCATATCTTCACAGTCTGTAACTAAAGAATAGTCTGCCCGTGAGAACATCCAGCCTTTAAACCTCAAGAATAACGAAATCTCCATATCCGATCCCAACTCTACTGCTCAAATGGTTGATACATCACTCATACTCCTTCATCATACAAAAAATGCTCATATAGATCTCTTGTGCCACGTAGCAAAACCTGAACCTCAGCAACCCAAAACCAGGCGATCATCAAAACACTAGCCAAGCATCCGCAAGTAAAAACACAATGCGCCTTCTAAAATGATCACTCTTCTCATGAGACATCAAATAGTGCCAGCATTTTCTTAAACATCTGAAATTATTTGTGCCATCAAGAACCCATGATCTTCCCTTCTAAATTATATTGCAACCTTGTGCTCAAAACTTCCAATCCCACGCGGCGTACCGCCACTGCCATGCTAACTCGTGAAAATTACAAAAAGTCTCATAATCAACTCTAAATCACAAACATGATGAACACCTCATCAACCGAGAACTTTCCATTTAACCCAATCCGGGAGGACATTGCCGCACGCATCACACATTCTATACCCGTAGAAGACATCAATTCCGAACCGTAGCCACAACCATCGTGAATTCTTCGAAACCTATTAACACATAATCAAGTCATCAGAACTGTTTTCCTCTCACTCAACTGAGTCGCGCAGACTGCCAAACCCAAAAGTAACTCAATCTGAAATGCTCGCTCTGAAGGAACCTTCTGCGAATCCGAAGTTGTTTCTTGTATCTCTCTAGTACTGTCATGTAAAGTCAATAATGATATAGAAGTAATGCAAGTCTAGACACCATCTAATACAAATCTCAAGTTCTAGCCATACACAAATCTGAAAAATCCTTAAATACCACATATGAGTCTCGAACTCATCAAAACCCTTTCGATAGTCATACACCTTGCTCTAATTCAACCCATACTAAACCTTTATCAAATCATACCTATCCGCAAGCACATCCTCATCCAAGAACTAATATAACGCATGATCATGCAATCCGATAGTTGATAGTAGGCTCCCCCACTTGGCTCGAAGCCACAAAACACATCACAATATAATGCATGTCTCTCGTCCTCTCCTGCACGGAAATACCCTTCGTGCCATGAACACATGATAATATAAAAAAAATAATGGCACAGCATCACCCTTCGTACTTTTACTCTTGTCCTCACGTGATAATGTAAATACAATGGCGCGGTATCACCCTTCGTATTTTACTCTCTTCCTCACATGATAATGTATATGAAATGGCACGGCATCACCCATTCGTGTGTAATGATGTATATGAAATGGCACGGATGATATATATGTAATGGCACGTCATCACCCTTCGTACTTTATACTCTTTCTCACTAAGCACATGTATATCAATAACAAAGCACCGTAGGAAGTATGAATAATATCAAGAAGAGTGGTTAATCAAATACCCTAAATGAACATCAATCACAGCTCTCAAGCCAATAACAATTCAATAAACCTCAAGAACCTTATCATTCAAGTATCTCAACAAATCTCAAAAGCGGTCTTCAACTCAAGTATGGAATCCAAATATTTCAAGAATAATAGTCGTAGCTGGATCCTGGTTTCTAACATTGAAATTCATATTCATATTATCATAGAAGTCAAATAAAATACGAGGAAAGAAATTCATATAGTCCAACAATGCACAAAGAATAGTATAATCTAGCCCGAGCATGGATAACCTGGCACATGCATATACGTTTGTCACTGTGCATATGCATCATTCCGCATGTAGCAAATAGTATCAATTAGTAGGAAAAAACTTTTCAATAAAGTTAGGCTAGATACTTACCTCAAACAAGCCAAATCAATACACTAGAAGCGCCATCCTGCACAAATAGACCTTCGAACGGCTCGAAACTAGCCAAAAGCAACTCAAAATCATCAAATAATACCATAAGAAGCAAACACAAACGATAAAGGTCTAATCTTTAATCAAATACTTAAAGTCAACCAAAAGGTCAACCCGCGCCCATACCCCGAAATTCGACAAAACTTAAAAATTCCGACAACTCATTCGAATACTAGTCCAACCATACTAATTTTACTCAAATCTGACTCTGAATCAATGTTCAAAACCCAATTATTCACTTTAGGAAAGATTAGACAAAAAAACCCAATTTTTCTTTTAAATTCACCAATTAAATGCCAAAATCGAAAGTGGAATCATGTAATATAATCAAATCCGAGTCAAAAATACTTACCCCAATCCATATGGTGAAAAACTCTTCCAAAATCGCCCAAATTCGAGCTCCATAACTCAAAATATGATAAAATGTGCTCAAGGTCCGAAATAGAGTACTTATATGCACTGCTCGGTGGTACTCTACGCGATCGCAGTTGTACCCTCGCGATCGCGATGCACAGCCCAGTGGTACTCTACGCAATCGCGGTTGTACCCTCGCGATCGCGATGCACATAAGCCAAAAAATACCCTTCGCGTTCGCGGCACTACCCTCGCGAACGCGATGAACACAGACACCACAACTACGCGAACGCGACTACGACCTCGCGAACGCGAAGACAGAAATCCATAGCTCCCAGCTGAATCGCGATCGCGAACCAACACCTGCGAACGCGATGAACAAACCTCTCAGCCCTTTGAGAACGCGTTTCTCCTCTTGCAAACACGATGAATAAACAACCAGTAGCTCCCCAAAACTCTACGCGATCGCGTCCTTACTTTCGCGATCGCGAAGAAGGCCTGAGACACCAGAACCAACAGAAAACCAGTTATGCCAAGCATAAGGAAAAAGGGTCCGAAATCAATTCGAAACTCACCCGAACCCCTCGTGACCCCATCCGAACACGCCACCAAGTCCCAAAATATAACACGAACCTATTCGAAGCCTCAAATCATACATAATAACATCAAAATCACGAATCACACCTCAAATCAAACTTAATGAACTTTGAACATTCAACTTCCAAAACTCGTGCCGAACTATATCAACTCAACTCGAAATGACCTCAATTTTTGCACACAAGTTCCACAAGTTCCAAATGATATAACAACCCTATTCCAACTCCCGGAACAACAATCCAAAACTAATATCATAAAAGTTAACTCCCGATCAAACTCATGAACCTTCCAAACCTTCAAATTACCAACTTTCGCCAAGTATGGCCAAAACCTCGTAGAAGCCTCCAAATGCAAATTCGGGCACACTCCCAAGTCCAAAATCACCATCCGGGCCTAATGGAACTATCAAAACTCCGATCTTAGGTCAAATATGCAAAGTCAAACTTGGTCAACTCTTCCAACTCAAAGCTTTCTAGTTGAGAATCATTCATCTGAATCACTCCCGAACAACTCGAAAACCAAAACCGACCATATACACAAGTCATTATACATCATATGAAGTTACTCATGACCTCAAACCACCGAACTGAATGCGAATACTCAAAACGACCGGTCGGGTCGTTATAAAAGTAATACTCCCTAAAATAAATTAATACAATATTGTCTGGTCAGCCGAAACTAATTGCATTTACTAGCAAAGGCAGGTCCAGGATTTGGAGCTTCTGGGTGCCAAATAGCTTTAGACGTCCATGTGTCGCTATTTATACATTGAGATAGAGTAAATATTTTGTCGGTTTGAGCAACTTTGAACTTTGTTTCGAGTTACTTGTATTTTTTGTATATTATATATCGACTGAACGGAAAAATATAGTACTATAGTTATGATAGAGTGAAGATTTGTTAAATAAAATATTATTTTAACTTTGTGCGGAAAAAAAAAGCAAATACTTAACTAATAAGAGACACAAAAAAGGGCATTTTCATATGTACCCACTTTTGGGGACACCATTGAAGTTATACATGCATTGCATAAAATTTTGTAAAGTGTACCCGTTCGGATCTAAAGTAGTTCAAATCTCTTCAATGCGACTTCAGAAATCAAATCTGAAGTTCTTCTATCTTTCAAATGCAACTTCAAAAATTTTAATCTTAAGTTCTGAAACATAAACTTGTTCTTCGAATTTCAACAATCGAATATACGATTGAATGCTCAAATCTACTCCAAATGAGCTCAAATTTAAAACATAACTCTCAAATATTATAAAAAATAAATCTCAATCATCAAATTGTCAAAACAACAACAAATTTAACTAACTCATTTTGAGGAAGAAAGCTTACATGTTGAGCAAGCCAAAAGGTTCAAAAGTTATTGCCAGCGA